GTTCTTGACTGACCTGGTCATGTCCCCTTTGAGGGCTCTTTGACGCAGGGCATACGATGCACAATTCGGGCATAGCAGAGACAGGAGGCAACCTAGCACACAGTAGAAACACAATGCAGATTACAAGACATACAATGTGAAAATTGAAAATCGAGTTATCCAAGTCCTGAACCCCATCTCTGAACAGGATGAGTAATGATGGTTGGGAAAGTTGACACGAATAACAACTTAGCCATTGGCCAAACTGAGAGGAGGTGCATACCGGTAGTCTACATGTATGTCATGTACTCAAATCTGTGGACAGGAACTGTTTCGCTGTTTTGTATATCATGTATGTATTCCTGTGCATAATCATGAGTACATACTTCACAAAGTAATGCCTCCGAGTGTACAGCCGCAGTCCAGGTAATAAAGCAAGTGCTGGGCACCGAACTTCATCGCGAGGTTGTATCATAATTATATTTTAGATGCTTGCAAAATGAAAATGTTGGCTTTTCTCCGCTGCAGCAGCATTTTATCATACATGGGAGCAGAGGTCTCTTTCTCTCTGACGGTGTAGTACATTACGTGTACTGTAAAGTACCACGAGAGCGCCCCGCCACTACATCTCTTCCGTGGTCGTGTTCGGGGGGGGGTCATGTCCTGTCTGTAAGTCATACACCACTTACCTTGTACACACATTGCACATGTTGTGCAGTCAATCAGTCAATCTGTACTCAGTTAACCAGTTGGAGGAGACACTAGCTTCATACAGGAACATGCAGCTATGTGTGATCTTAGTACAACAAGATTCTCACAACGTACACACTTAGGGCATGTTCGATTGGTAGGATCGGGATCCCGATCCAACGGATCCATTGGATTCGCACCCTTTCGATTGGTCGGATTTGGATCCGGTCAACCCACCTCGGGGAGCAGGATTGACCGGATCCAACGGATCCAAATGTGACCTTTGTGCGTATATGGCGGGTAAAAATCATTTTTGTACACATTGTGGTACGCACACGTGGATGGAGATAGAGCTTGTTGACTTTTTGTACGACACACGCGATGAGTACGACGTTCACCCTTTTGGGTGCCTTGTGAGCGCCATTTTCAACATGGCAACAGTCAAGGTCCAAAATAAAGTGTTCATCTGAAGGATCCGAGGGATCTGAGATCTGGATCCCGATCCTTACCAATCGAACATGCCCTTAGTTGCACTCTGCCATGCAGTTTTCCTTTCCCTCGGTGTAAAATCAAGGTGGGCGCTCTCACGAGACGGGGCGCTCTTGCAAGACGGGGCGCTCTTGGGGTACTTTGTGATACTGCTATACATAGCATTTCTTTGCTAGTTACTATGCCTATCGACATGTGGAAAGTTCGGCGCCAAATCCTCAATGTTTAGGCAAGCAGGCAAGCATATCAGGGGTAGGCGTATTATTATGGCCAGGCTAATTAACAGTGCTGTTTCGCAATGAATTCCATCGGCATTTATCATCCGCCACCTTCCGAAGCTGGGCTAGGCCAGGTCGCGACAGAAGCACAAGCCCCAGCTTCTCCCGACAATCCAGTGAGAGAGTGGTTAGCAGTGTTGTTCTTGGTCTGCCTCTCCTTCCCCGCAAGGTACCAGAAGCAGCAAAATAGAGAGCGACCTGTGGCGGCGCCCCTGATGGCATTCGGAGCACATGCCCCAGGAAGCTCCATTGCCTCACTGCGATCTCCTTGGAGATGGGTTGGGTGCGACAGCGGTTGTAGAGTTCCGTGTTTTTGATTATATTTGGATACTTTATACGGAGTAGCGAGCGGAGGTGACGGCGGTGGCAAACATCCAGAGACGTTCTGAGTGCCTCAGTGAAGCCCCAGGTAGCGCAGTTGTAAAGCAAAATGCTTAGAACATAGCAATTGTACAGCCTCAGCTTCAACATTAGGGAGACCCCCGATGACTGTGGAAGGCTTTGCATCGGGCCAAATGTCTGCGATGCCAGAACCATTCAGTGTTTGATGTCCTCGGCAGTACCAGCTCTCGATCCAACAGACTTTGCCATCCGCCATTCTTCTTTCCCTCTTTTCTCCAGGTCTGCATCGAGGTAGAAGTGGGTCCGTTCAGTTTTCGCGCTTTCGCGCAATGTACCAAGACCAGACTAGACTAATAGACAAGTTGTCGTTGTAGCAATACAAGTGTACTAGTAGTCCATGAGTCAGTCACGAGCAGTTCTTGCCCTGTCCTCAGCATCTTTAAACTCCTGCAGAATGATGCATTTCCGCACATCATTCTTGCATCATTTGACTGTTTTAGGGCGCATCATATGAGAGATTTATTTGCGCAATTCATGGTGTGTGTGTGTGGGGGGGGGGGAGAGAGAGAGAGAGAGAGAGAGAGAGAGAGAGAGAGAGAGAGAGAGAGAGAGAGAGAGAGAGAGAGAGAGAGAGAGAGAGAGAGAGAGAGAGAGAGAGCTGTAATATGCTATACTGTAGTGTGAGTGCTTGAAAATGCCAACCATATCTATACTGACGATGCCGCATGTGCTGTAAAGTACCGTTAGTCCCCCCCCCCCCCACACACACAGTGTCGCTTCCCAGCTGGTTTCACTCTTTTATAAAAACATAGTTCTAGTTTTGACATCCATGTGTACCATGGTGTACATGTGCAACATTGTTTTTGAATTTTGCCAGTACAAGTACAAGTACAAGAGGCTTTTCTCTCATCGGGGAGAAAACTGTACTGTACTCGATATCCGTTAAAATTCCTGAAAAGAAATTCAAAAGAAAATTAATTTGAATTTCTATGGCGTACTCGTGCACGCGTGGCCGGTAGATCTACAAGACTGTTTGGTAAACCTGTACTTTAGCGCCCCCAGGTCGTCGAATGTCTTGTACTAAAAAATGTAGTATTCAGGTGATTTCAGCACTAAAATGACTACACTGTACAATGTATATCAGTGTTGTGCTTAGTGCCATAATTATAATTATGGGGGCGCTAAAGTACAGGTTTACCGACTGTTTTCTGGTGGAGCGACTTACAGCAGGGATCCTTGGTGCACGCATCCACCATGCCCACTTCCCAGTGCTCAATATACTCGGCACGAGGGTTTTCTTTTGAGCTGCAGTTTCCCATCGTGAGAAGCCACACCGCGACAGACCACAGAGGTCACTGGTGGAAGAAAATAATTAGTTGACCGGGGATGAACAGATCAGGAATCGCTGCTACCAACTAGATTCTAGTTGCGAAAATTTCAGGCAGGCAAATGTCTACGTCAAACGCGATAGATACCTTGAGAAAATTAGACTGTCACACCGACACCTACAAACCAGCTGTGAGCAAAAACTTTCAAAAGTTCTAACCGTTGAAGACGAACACAACGAAAACGGTACAGTGGCTATAGCTGGGAAAGTTCAAGATTGGCAGCAGTAGCTTATGCGACTGTCCGAGATTGCCACTACGGAACCTCATGCGGCGTAGATCTATGCCGCCCTTACACACGGATTGCGTGGTCGATGGACATATCTCCTTCGTACACTGGAGTTCTCAACTGAACAGCTTAGCGCCTGGATGACACGGTCTCGGAGCACTTCCTTCCGGCCCTGACAGGGAAACGCACGTTCATGGCGGCAGACCTCTTATCTGAGGCTCTCTCTTCTACGGCTACCTTGCCGGCTCGGTGGAATCGGTCTGCCATACTTCAAAGAAATCGCTACCTCCCAACTGCAGGCTTCCCAAGTCATCACGAGCAGCCAGGTTGACGAGATCATCCACCAGCACGACAGAGAATGGCAGCATCATTCCTGCAACTAATATTACTTTGTGGATCAGCTAGCCCGACGTGAGAGAGCATCTGCTGCCAAGCCCTCCATGAAAGCTACTGTCTGTAGTGCTGCCTCTTTCACTGCTCTCCGAGAAGCTGCGGAGCGCCCCGTGGCCCGTCGTATGGAGTACTATTAGTACGACTACTTGTACCCACATGGCATATCACTGTCATCAGCCATAGCAAGAGTACATAACCCCCTGGCCCTGGTGGTTATGTGCTCTGTCTTGGCCATAGTCATAGGTGCACAGTCCGGCCGGCTGCACTAACATCACACAGTAACTGCTGGCTCTGGCTGTCCTCTACTGAGTCTGTCTCCCATGGTTTACAGCCTCCTGCCTACAACATAATCCACACACCTATTTTGTGACCTAAGAGTCTAAGACTAGTACATGACTGTATTATAAGAGTGACTCTAAGAGTAAGACGGGCTACCGTATTATCTCTAATATAAGCACGGTCCTTTATTTTTTCAATGTACCTCCGCCCCGTGCTATTAATGGAGACGTTCCTTTATTGGAGCCTGTTCCATTATTATTTCAACCTCATTTCAGACGCATGTTGCCATGCCAAATTTATATGTCAGACACACACATTTCAGGGTTTTTTCGCCGGTACAGATAATGAATTTACACAGTGTGCTTATATTGGAGACTGAGCACTATATTTTTTGAATGCCGCCCCAAGGTTGTTCTATTATTGGAGACGTGCTATTATTGGAGACTGTGCTTATATTAGAGATAATACGGTAAGTGACTCCTTGACCCTATCCTGACTCACTGCCACTACCGGTACCTCCTGCCCACACCAGCCACACATTAAATTTGCTAATAACCCTGTCACCATGGTCACTACCCCTACAGCCTTCTAGGATCCTGCCTACAACCACGCACTCTGCACACACTCTCCTGCCTACAACCACGCACTCTGCACACACTCTGCACAGTCTCGTGCCTAAAATAAAAGATAACCATGACAGGCATGATAACACCACTACTCACTGTAGCCCTGAAACATTACACTGATACAGCCCTTCCATTCACACACAGCTTTTCATACAGCACTACACGACCCACCCTCTCCTGGCATGATACACCGGCATGGTCAGTACCCCATACTCATGTAGCCTGATGATTTCTAAAGCATGACTACTTTGAGCAGCAACAAACAAGCTTTGATTGCCCTTGTTGTACTGTGCCGTGACATGTACATGTATGAATTATCACATTGTTGCAATAACTATGTCATGCATCATGTACTATACAATACCAGTCATATAAAACATCTAAAAAAAGAGGGGAGAAAATGCGGAAACTTTGGACATGTCGACCGGCAAAACTCAAATCTTTAAAAAAAAAACTGGAAACATGGCCAAATACTAGTACTTGTAATACACAGCGGCAAACGGTAAGAAAAGCTATGGAGTAGAAGATTTACCCCAGTGTAAAAGTAAAAACAACAGCGAGCAAAGCCGTTTGTGTACAAACAGTTTGAATACAGCGGAAGCAGGCAAACAAGCACCATAAAAACATAAAATCACAAGCCACTTGCGCACACGCTATCTGCTGATGCCGGGAAAGGAGTAATTCTAAAGAAAACCACGGTGAGCATGCCACGGAGAAGCAGCAGCAGCAACACTGCCTAACTAAACCATCAGTTATAGTGGTATAGTTCGACTGAGCAATACAAGTGACTAGTGTGTGTGTGTGTGTGTGTGTGTGTGTGTGTGTGTGTGTGTGTGTGTGTGTGTGTGTGTGTGTGTGTGTGTGTGTGTGTGTGTGCGTGCATGAGAGAGAGAAGGAGAGAGAGAGAGAGAGAGAGAGAGAGAGAGAGAGAGAGAGAGAGAGAGAGAGAGAGAGAGAGAGAGAGAGAGAGGAGAGAGAGAGAGAGAGAGAGAGAGAGAGAGAGAGAGAGAGAGAGAGAGAGAGAGAGAGAGAGAGAGAGAGAGAGAGAGAGAGAGAGAGAGAGAGAGAGAGAGAGAGAGAGAGAGAGAGAGAGAGAGAGAGAGAGAGAAAGAGAGAGAGAGAGACGATATGAATGAGAGACGTTATCTATACCTGTACTGAAGCACATTAATACTGTGCTTGTCCTTGTGACACTGTGTGGGACAGCAAGAGTCATGCATGATCTTGTCAATATGCAACAGCCTTGAAACAAAAGTGTATGTCGAGTGAGGTCCGGGAGTAGAAGTACTAGTACTGGTACACTGCAGGATAGCTCAGTGAAAGATGGCGATAGCGGCAATGTTCTTAGAAACACAGAATACAGCTCAGGTCTATGGGTATTTTCTATTCAAGCACATAAAACAATTGGCTGCACTTTCAGACGAACAACAACAAGAACGACAATACAAACCAGTGGCCCATGTCTCACACGGGCCAGCTCTTTGCCGTGCTCACCCGCTTGCCTAGAGCAACTCCTTGGTGATGACCTCAGCAGGAGGATTGCGGTAGGCTGGTGGCGGAGTGATTAAAGTGGTTGCTGACGGAGTGATTAGAGTGGTTGGTGACGGGGTGATTAGAGTGGTTAGTGGCGGAGTGGTTAGTGACGGAGTGATTAGAGTGGCTCTTTGGTGATGACCTCAGATGGAGGACTGCGATAGGCTGGGGGCGCGCCAACACCAGGCTGTGTAGTGATCACACCAGGCTGTGTTGTCACGACAACCTGGGTATTGGTGCCAATCTGACCGGCTTGCAGCTCACGTTTCTCCAGCTCGACCTTGTGCTGCGTTTGCATGCAGGCACATACACTGCAGCAACACATCACCAGCATACACGCACCAAGACACAACCATGGGAGACACAACACACACACATGCGCACGCACGCACACACACACACACACACACACACACACACACACACGCACAAACACACGTCGTATCAGCCAACATATGTCCTATGTTTCTCATCACTAACACAAATACAATGTACGTTTCAGAGAATTTAGGAATGGATAAAAAATTAAAAATTACTACCTTCACCATGCTCCATGAATGTGCAGTATATGCATGACACACAGGTGTACCATGACTGCACATGTATGACACACAGGTGTACCATGTCTCATACTCAAGCCTAGTAAGGCTGGCCATAAAAACAGGTTCACAATTAGAACATGGTTCATTGGCGAAAGTCCTGCCGAACAGTACGCAAAGTCACAAATATCAGCTACATCATATTATCTTGATATTGTGTTCGACTCTCAGCTGCCTTGGTCATCGCTAATGTTGAGTGCATTGGCTCATTAGAGAACCTTAGCAAAAGTACGATAACGCTAACCTTTACGGTACTCACTCTCAGCCGTGACAAAACACGTTATCGGGTAACGGAAAAACGTTACAGAGCTCAAAATAACGGGCCGACGCTCGATATGGTAATTCTGCAAAAATGCAAAAAACTCTCATTATTTTGTAACTGGTGGAAGATAAACAACACGTGCAGATCGAGACCCGAGTCGAGATTCAAAGCGGCTTCCTCTTGTGACTTTTAGCTTTTTTTGGTAAGTTTTGCCTTTCAGTTGACAATGTCTGCGTCCTCTGCTTTGTGCCTTTCACCCTCTATCCCATCTGGAAAACAAAGGACCGGTTCCGTGGCACTCCTGAGGAAAAAATTCATCGGCCTCTCCCAGACGTGCTGGAGCTGGGGAACCCTTACAGTCGTCGCTGCTGTGAGTAGGAAAAGTTTTCCAAGGACCTGGGCGCAGCGAAAACTCATGTTCGCCGTGCCTTTGCCATTCCCGAGTGAAAGACCACGCCAAGGTATTCATTCGGAACGACGGGAAACTAATCCCTGGTTCAAAATTTTGAATTTCCCGCACTTATTTCCACGAAATTCATATTGCAATGGTTATCACGACTACTTCGTCTGAACTGTAACCGGTACATTGTGCTAAGGGAAAAGTCAGCTTGAACGATCCGAAGTACGGTAAGGATTGCGCTAATGTTAGCGTTTTTGTAGCTAAGGATATCTATTGAGGCTAGTTTAGCCCTGTCCTTCCTTCCTGCATACCTGCCAAGTATCCTGATTTTTTCGGGATTATCCCGCATTTTTGGATAAACTCCCGCGATCCCGAAATTCCTGTCGATTATCCCGAAAATCCCTGTACATGAAACACGTCTTGATAGTGTTCTTGGAGCACTTCAAGTGACTGTGTCTAGTTGTCCTTATTGATTCTGTACCGCCATAGCTGTAGCACCAGTGGATCTATTAGTACTCCTTCCATGAACAGTCCCTGAAAAACCTCCGTTTTGAGTCCTGCGTAGAATGTGATGAATATCTACAATTGTAATCACTGATATCACAACATCTTGGTGTCATCATTTCAAAAAAAAGTTGAAAATGGAATTTTGGAAAAAAATACGACATCCCGAAAAACCAAGGCAAATCACGAGATTTTGCCCTGGCAATCCGGAAAAAGCACTCTCAGTACTTGGCAGGTATGTTACTGCCTTCACCTAACACTGTGCCTAATTGGTGCCACTAGTCATAACAGCTCACTGAATAACTACAAAAGTCATGAAAAGCAAAGCGGCACCCACAAGTTCAGGTCACGGTTGCTGAGTGCATTAATGCCTAAGCGTATGTGCCCGTATTCGACGATACAGTAATAACAGATTCCCTATGAGGTTACGTGAGCATGCCAATCAACTCAATTGCCATGCAGGCGCATAGCCCGCATGGGGCACGTGCACCCCCCCCCCCCCCCCCCTAAAAAAGTTCGACCTATGTTCAGCCATGCACATAATGACCATGAATGACATGCACCAGCCATCCTACACATATGCGGTCGTGCACCCCCTAAAAGGGGGACCAGCTACGGCCCTGCCATGGATCTACTAATGAGGTGCCATGGATATACATGTACATGTACTTACGTCCAGTAGACAAAGTCAGCAAGGAGATCCACAATTTCTTCAATGCCGTCAGGAACGCCGGGGATGAAATGAAGGATGCATGCAAGACACTGGAGGCAATAGACTGTTGCCTGGAAACACAACGCACATTCGCACGAGTCACAGTCCACACAATGCACATACATGCGTACATACATGCGTACATACGTACACGCCACACAATGCATGCCACAAACAGTATCAAAACACCGTGCCATACATGAACTGGAGGAGAGGGGGGACATTCAGACAGATGTGAGTGACAAGACACATACATGTAGGAGAGCTGTCCTGGGGAAAGAAATGCACAATACAGGACATTTGGTTATTTACCCTGACAGTAGCATGGAAAACATTTCACGGCACCTTGAGGCGGGGTGGGATCAGGTCCCGCAGATCAGAAAAGCAGACGGCGAGTTTAAGTGCTGTTTCGTTTACTGCACAGTGCACACCAACTTAAATACTTTTGCAAGTGAAAAACATTTGCAAACAGACCAAAGGCCCTTTTCTAAAGCGTTGTGCTATGGCAAGCTGCAACTAGATGCAGCCAGGTGCATGCTGGCATTAACGTACTACTACATGTACACACGAATGGACTAGAGAGGACACACTTTAGCAGGCGTTCCTATTTCAAAACTTCGACGTCCCCTGCGAAATAGAAATGACTGCAAAAATCAGTTGATTCACAGTATATTTCTGGTGCGTCAATATAAATTTGCAGTGCTTCCGGTTTCCACCCCAAAATGGGACACTTCTTCTCGATGTCCAACAAATTGTCAATTTGACAATTTCCCTTGTGTGGGATAAACGGTAACGTGGATCTATTAAACCATGTCACAGCACTGCTGCATGTACTGAAGTACCCGTACATACAGTTCAGTTCACTCTTTGGATTTCCTCTTGACATCGCAAAAGTTACCTTTCGGAGCACTTTTAGACAGTATCTGATAAGCCAGACAATATGGTGGCGCTGCTTTTGGTTTTGATCTGCAGCCTTTGTTAAAGTGCCTCTTCCATTTGTTTGTTGTTTGCTCGGTGAATGGGTAGGTGCACATGAAGTGACTACAGTATTCTCCGGAGTATAATGCGCACTCCCACCTTTCCCAGACTTTTTGCCACCAAACACAGACATCTACCCAATTAGTCACCGGTAATTTGATCATCGGAGTATAAGACGTATCCCCCATTTTTTCGGGTGAATTTTGAGTGTTCCAAGTGCGGCGTATAATGGAGATAATACGGTATGTAGCTTGATGATACGGGCAGGCTGCCAATGGGTCATGTCGCTGGGCTAAGCCGCTCTGCTTACAGGAACGGATCTACTTATTGTAGCTATCGATTTACAAATCCTTCTGTGTCACCTATTGGCTATTTCACATGAAACCAAGTACATGTACTTGGTCCGTTATCGACTTGATCTTGAGGATCGAACTTCACGGGAGTCAATGAACTGCTAACACCATACACTGCAAGGGAGTGATGTGTAGTTATGGCATTGTACATACACAGTGTCAGGATAATGATGTGTACCTATGGCATTGTACATACACACATTCCAGTAGTATTGATGTGAGATTACAATAGTGGATAGTAGTCTTAGGCAAGTGTCACTTACAATCAGACAGTTATCACAAGCCGTGTTCTGGATATTGTACTCATCTTGTATGGTGTAGCGAGTAGCCAGCACCGACAGCGTCATACAGAAAGTAACCTAGCAACAACAATAACAATAACAACAACACACACACATGTGCACACACGCACACCCATCCACCCATACACACACGCACACCCATCCACCCATACACACACGTGCACACACATGCACACCCATACACACACGCACGCATGCGCGCACGCACACATAGAATAATAATTCTGTAATTCATTTTCTACTACTTTACTCCGCATTACTAGAAAGGTTTCTGAAAAACGCCATTTTCCGTGTTTTGCGTCCTGAAAACCTGATTCGACTTCGTTTCCAAGTGTTGTCATGCAAAACAAAGTAGTGAGTGTAGAAGGCGCCAAAGACCGGTTTTTTCGCATTTAGAATCTTGCAGCACATGCACAGCAGTGCAAATGAAGAAGTCGGTGTTGCCACATCATTCTAGCCAAATATCAGTAGCATGAAAAAATAAAATGCATCATCCGGGGGCTTTGCCCCCGGACCCCCCCCCCCCCCCCCCTATATAGCGACCTCGATACACACACATGCGGCACTCATAAGAAAAAACATTTCACGGTTTTGCGTGACACTCAGGCTGAGTTTGCCGATTTTGCCTCAAGACGTTTGATGATTTCGCTTAGCGCCTCAGGAGAGAGCTATGGAAACACTCGTGATGCGCAGTAAAGTCAAAAATCTGGATCATGACTCCTAAACCATGCATAAGGTCAAACTTGAACACTTTCATGGCTGTTGTCGACAGGAGAAGGTCGATTGTCGGCAGGTCGTGACATGCCTCAAAAATCGGCAGGCTACTGACATGTCGGCAGGTGTGGCAACACAGAGAAGTCCACTGTTGGAAATGGTGCCCGTGGACTCTGTGAGGAGTATGACTTTGTCGTGTCACTACTTCTTATCTCATACGACTGTGGAGATATCGACCAGGATGACCTGCTCTTGCTGCCGCTGCTAGCATTAGAAGACGATAACAAATCTCAGTAGCATTTCAATCAGGACGTTCGTACGCGGCTGTGTTTTGAAAATCTGGACCGGATGAAGCTTGTTTTGAAAATCTGGACTGGATGAAGCTTGTTTTGAAAATCTGGACCGGATGAAGCTTGTTTTGAAAATCTGGACCGGATGAAGCTTGCTTGAGGAGATTCAGGTCCAAGAAATGTGAAGTCATCGAGTGAGCTGAGTGAGCAGCTTGCCTTTAGCTGAGTGAGCATCTTGCCTTTAAAACTTTCCAGCAGATACGTTTACCGCTCCTTGCCGTACAACATGGCACGGCCTGGAAGGACTCCTTGTCGTACAACATGGCACGGCCTGGAAGGACTCCTCATTGTTCTGAGATGACTGGTATTTCCGAACTGCCTGGGAGACGTTTGCATTGAGCTTGGAGTTGAACACCACTCTCAAGTGGATTCACAGGAGGTGGGGTGATACGCTGGAGCATCCGTTTGGAAACCTTTTCTCCCTCGAGAAAGGTTAGCTGAGCACAGGGAAGCAATAATTCGTCGCACTGGTATAGATTTGAGAATTGTTGGGTTCATCGACGGCACCGTCCACATCATCTGCAGGCCTGGTGGGGAGCAGATGTTGTTCTACAACGGACATCAGCGTACCCACACACTCAAATACCAATACGTGGCTGTATGGACAGCAGATGGTCTGATTCTCAGCATGTACGGGGGAGGGGGTATAGAGGGTCAGGTTGTGGGCATGATTCTGGTATTCTACTCTCTGGAGATCCGTAGGACTACTCGTATGTTTGATAAGAGTGTTCAGCCTGGTGTTCAGCCTGGTGATTTGGTCGGCAAAGTCGTAGCAAGTATAGCCCAGGAGATACCCCAGTGGGCAGTTGTCCAATTCGCTGTGATTAGTGGCCCTTACTGGAGCAGCACATGTTGATCCCAAATAAAGATGGAGCATATGCTATACACGGCGATCCCGCTTATCTGCTTGAAATCGTCAACTCGTACGTAACCGTTGACTACAGGAAACAACAGAAAATTGGCTTGCAAAAGCAGTTGGCCTACTGAGGCTACACTACGAAGTTGCTGCCCTCTTTACGACCAGTTTGACGATTGCCTCAGAACCGTTTTCAACTTTTCACCCGGCGGGTGAGATTGGGGTAAGATTGTTACCAAACCTGACAGGGTTCGCAGCCAACCAAGCACACAAAATTCCAAACTTTTTCCAAACTTTTTCCAAACCAATTTCAAGAATTTCCAAACCCACTCGTGCAGGAAAAATAAAATTTAATTATGAATCTCTTCTGCATGACTGTCTTCTCCACTACGAGTACAACCAGGGAGTAGTAAAATCCTCCCTGGTACCACTACCATCAACAAATTCACCAAGGTACATTGCAATGGCATCGCCTTCAGCAGCTAGAGCCCCCGAAAATAGCAAGGGAATTCATACGACGAGAGTTCCCCTCCGTAAGTTCAAATCCGCCTCCAGAAGGGGTTCCAATGAAACATTTACATAGCTGGTGTTCGTCTCAGCGCAAAAGACGGCTTCATCCTCGCCAGCAAACTCATCTGAGTGCGAAAGGACCTCGCATCCTGCTGTCCCGACTTCAAAGAATCAAAGTCGAGCGCGAGCGCCAGTAACGAAAAACGGCCAAATAAAAGTCATCACCGGCCGCGCTTGAGCTGCACTGAAATGACTGTACGAGACTTGTACATCAGTGAACACCACACATCGCCAGCGCGTGTTCTATGGCGGTAGTCAAAACGGCCACTTGCACTGCGCTCAAGTCTGCAGGAGTGCAGCACATCCACGGCCAAAAACTCGAAATTCAAAACTTTTTCCAAACTATTCCAAAAGGAGCGCCTTTTCAAAACTTTTTCCAGACCTGGAAAATTGAATTATAAAATCCAAACTTTTTCCAGACTTCCAAACTTCGCTGCGAACCCTGAAACCATGCAGATGCGCGAGCGAATCAGGATTCTCTTGATCAGTCAGTAATAAAAAAACCCAGAAATATTTACCGCCAAAGAGACTATTGATACAACTTGCAGAAACTCAGCGCTGAGAATTTCCAACAATTGTCTGCCTTTGCAAAGTTTGGTAGTCAGCCAACGTACCTGTATTTCACGATAGAAAGTGGTATCACTTTGTAAGGCATTACTGCGTGCCACGGAATTCTTCTTTGTCGATACAAGCTGCTTACGATGACGTAGCCGCATTTCAATCCTTGAGAGACCAGAGAACACTTCCTCCCAGAAGTGAACTCCCAAATCTCCAGTATCCTATAATATGAAATGCTCATCATTACAAGGAACTCACTTGAAGGAAGGGTAGAGAAGTACTGCTTGATCACAAATGAGGAGAAAAAGTGTCAACCAACAGAGTTATAGTAGGGGTTCTAGCAGGGGAAAACAGTTACCCCGTAACCAATTTTTCCATTTTCAAAATAACTGTCTTGCAATGCAAAATGCAACGTACGGGGCAAACACCTGACTTCACCCCAGACAAATGTGCCTTTATGAACCCTCTAGTACTGACTAGCGACTGCCTATTTGTTGAATGGCATGACATGACAACACACAAAAGTTGGAAAATGAGTAGGAGGCGGCACTTTTTCACAGGGGGTGCGCTGTCCCCCACCCCTTGGCTAGAACCCTGATCATGTTGGGTCCTCGAGCTAAATCCGACTTTGAAATCGGTGCACCTGCTCTTTAAAATGCCAATACACGTAATGTACTCAAGGAAATCAACTTTGTTCTCTTTGTCCATGCCGTCGACCGAAACAAATTTTGCAGGGGTGGTGCCTCACCATCGGACGATGATGCAGATGCATCACAGAAGCAAAGCAAATGATATACCATCAGATGGATAGGCCTATTTACGGAATAGTTCTTCGACAAATACTCAAGATCGGTTCGACAGATAATCTTTTTTGCCAAAAAATATTTTTGTGAGGCAGGCATAAAAATTCAGGAATACTGTAAAAGCCATATATATAACGAAGTGCTAACTCTAAGAGGAGAGATCTGTCGTTAAAATAGAAATCGTTATACAGAAATCGATACAATACTGTTACTATTGAGCGTTGAGAATGAGTCAGAATCGTTACCTTTTGTTCACGTAATATTATATGCGCCTCATTAGAATAATGGCTTTTACAATAGTGGCGTGTCACCTCCCGTTATTCTACTACTCCCTGGCTGAATTGTTCTGGGCGACAGCAGTTGTGGTGAGTTCCTATGCGGATGGAGAAAAGCTGCACTTTCCCTGCAGCCTTGTAAATTCGTGATGCATGCAGTGAGGTGTTTATGTGTGATTAAATGCAGTAGACTTACTTCACAACAGAGACATATGTGATTAAATGCAGTAGACTTACTTCACAACAGAGACATAGCTCAGGGCACTTATCCTCTCCACAATCGTGACATTTGCAACAGCATGTAAAACAGTAACCTTGACAACAGCGGTATCTGTACAAATCCACACGCACGCACGCGCACACACACACACACACACACACACACACACAAACACACACACCACATGCATGCACATGTACGCACACGTGCAAGTAATTACAATGGAGAAACAAACAGAAAGGCTTCTGTGCAGAACAAAAACAAATCAGAAAATTTAGTCCCTGTATGTGTCGGTGTTTTGCTTCAGTGATGGAGGCTATCATCGCCGCAGAGAAGACAGTGGCGGATCCAGGGGGGGGGGGGGGGGGGGGCCCAGGGGGCCTGGGCCCCCCCTTTGAAAATTTCGACCTTGGTCTAGGATTACAGTACTGTCAGTAGACTGTAGAACATGGTAGAATGAGCGCTCGAAAATTGACTTGCCGTGTCAAGTGGGTCACGCGTGCTACGTACTTTTATAAGTGTCCCGGTGTCACGCACTGTACTACTACTAGCCAGCGAGCTGTGTACAACTACTGTACGCACTGCGACCTGAGGACACGGCCGCACTTCAAACATGTGAAAAACGTGCCAAAAATGCAGGGCCTGGTGCATAGTGCAGCGATCGCGTTGGGCTGAAGTCCTGTATGGTGCACGGTGCTGTCGACTTCGTCCTTCCTTTTTTCTTTTTCACTTGTCAGAAACTATTACGCTCTCTCTACTTCGCGTGTAGCCAACGGGTTTACCTTCAGATATGCGATGAAGAGGAAAGGGTCTGACATCAGGTCGTTCTTCAGTGGACCGGTAGATAAGAGAGTTCGCGTTGAAGAGCCGTCCAAAGGTCCCTCGCAGCCGCTGTCGAGTGGAAATGTTCCAGTGCAGTTTGAAAATGTCGTGAGAATGGAATAAAACTAGGGACCGGCGGATTCTGCTCGAAAAGGTGGCATATTCTGCTCGAAAAGCAGTGAAATAGGCAGAACCATACAAACCTCCATTTTTTTTATCCACATACCAAACATGCATGAAACTTACCAGAAAAAGTACCGAATTCTGCCAATTTTTCTGCCGGCAGAATCCGCCGGACCCTAAATACAACAGCTCTTCACAACTTCAGGACTTTGTTGTTGTTGTATTTGTTGTTTTTTTTGGGAAGGGGGGGGGGGGGGGAGGACGGATACCTTGGGCCCCCTCTTCGGCCAAGTCCTGGATCCGCCACTGGAAGAGGACTGGAGGACTGGCCTCTGTTCAGAAGTTGCTGTTCATACAGGGAAGGAGAGTCAAGATGAATAGGATCTGCATGTAGCTGTAGACACCTGACAGAGACCTTAGTGAGAGTAGATCTCGGAGTCTCAGGATACACTTCAAGACACAGTTAGTGACACAACACACTGTTTCTGACTGATGCAGCCAGTGATCTGGTCAGCCAGTGATCTGGTCATGGTGTGAAGCATCATGTAGTACAGTGATGCTCAATGAAATTAGGGCTGAGTCGGGTAGCATCTTCTTCGGGTATCGGGTCCGGGTAGTTTTCCACGGGTAGCACGGGTACCCGGTCGGGTAATGTTTCCATGGTAAGACCACAATGCACACCGGCCCCTTCCCTTACACACTGGGTAGACATGCGTGTGTATTTGTACACGTGCACTGTAGACCTCTTTCTCTACTCTTTCTACATGATGTCATCTGCGACTTCGGGTTTTCGGGTACGATTCGGTACCCGTCTACCCGAGGTCCTCACGGGTAGCACGGGTACCCGACTGCCCGTACACACCACTAAATGAAATCCAGTCGCGTCACTCAAGTTTGCGCCTCGCACCATTTCACAGCCCAGTGTTTGCAGGTCTAGGGCTGCGCAACGCCCGGCGGCATGGCGTGCTTGAAGGTTGAGACTGGATTTCATTGAACAGCACTGTACAACTGCACTGAGTGATGTCCAGTGTTGCCACCAACCCATTTTTGTAGCAGCAGCAGCAGCAGCAGCAGCAGATGCAATAACCAGTATAGCTGTGCATATTCGCTTAGCAACAATCATCAGATGCATCAGGTTCTACCAAATAGACTGGGAAACAAGGACACATCTCTGTTCTTGACTGACCTGGTCATGTCCCCTTTGAGGGCTCTTTGACGCAGGGCATACGATGCACAATTCGGGCATAGCAGAGACAGGAGGCAACCTAGCACACAGTAGAAACACAATGCAGATTACAAGACATACAATGTGAAAATTGAAAATCGAGTTATCCAAGTCCTGAACTGCATCTCTGAACAGGATGAGTAATGATGGTTGGGAAAGTTGACACGAATAACAACTTAGCCATGGGCCAAACTGAGAGGAGGTGCATACCGGTAGTCTACATGTACATCATGTATGTATTCCTGTGCATTATCATAGGTACATACTTCACAAAGTAACGCCTCCGAGTGTGTACAGCCCCAGGTAATAAAGCACGTGCTGAGCACCGAACTTCATCGCCAGGTTGTATCATATTTATAGTTTAGATGCTTTCAAAGTGAAAATGTTGGCTTTTCTCCGCTGCAGCAGCTTTTTATCATACATGCGAACAGAGGTCTCTTTCTCTCTGCGGGTGTAAAGTACCACGAGAGCGCCCCGCCACTACATCTCTTCCGTGGTCGTGTTCGGGGGGGGGGGGGGGGTGGGGGGGGGGGGGGGGGTGATGTCCTGTCTGTAAGTCATACACCACTTACCTTGTACACACATTGCACATGTTGTGCAGTCAATCAGTCAATCTGTACTCAGTTAACCAGTTTGAGGAGACACTAGCTTCACACAGGAACATGCAGCTATGTGTGATCTTAGTACAACAAGATTCTCACAACGTACAAACTTACCGTAAAATGCCGCCAGAGCGCCCCGTCTCTCCCATCCGCCCCTCCCTGACTTCTTGTCAGGGAGGGGCGGATGATATTATCCTCGTATGACTCTGTGATGCCGCACTGTACTGCAGACGCGTGCCCGACCCCGTTGGAAATGTACGCAACAGACAGTGCCCACCCTCTCGACCAGGGATCGCACAAACCCTGAGTTTTGACGGGTCTGTACTACTCCTGGCTCTTGACCTTTGGTCGGTGTACGAGATGCACGAACAGTTTTCGTAGGGAGAGTACTTTTTCATGTAGTACTGAATGCGGCAAGTAGGACTCGCCCATCCGCCCCTCCCCATCTGAAGCGTCGAGGAGGTAGGGGCGCTCTGGCGGGATTTTACGGTAGTTGCACTCTGCCATGCGGTTTTCCTTTCCCTGAGTGTAAAATCAAGGTGGCGGCTCTCACAAGACGGGACGCTCTCGGGGTACTTTGCGGTACTACATGTACTATACTGTATACATAGCATTCTTTGCTAGTTACTATGGCTACCGACATGTGGAAAGTTTGCTGCCAAATCCTCAATGTTTTAGCGGACATGAGTCCACAGTGAGAAAGTCCGTGCAATCACCAGCGTGCCGCATTTTTCAGTCGCAATCCGAACATGGAATAGACCGGTGCACCGTGGGTACTACATTGGTGTACGCAGTCTGCCCACATATGCGTCGGGTTCATAGCTATAACTAAGATTGTACAATGTAGATCGATATTGTATTGCTGCAAAAGCCTAACAAAGCGTACACATGGACTAGCAGTAACTATGGTAATGCCGACGCCTGGGTGATGTACCAAGACCAGACTAGACTAGTAGACAAGTTGTCGTTGTAGCAATACGAGTTACTCAGTATACTAATAGACAATTTGTCGTTGTAGCAATACGAGTGTACTAGTAGTCCATGAGTCACGAGCAGTTCTTGCCCTGTCCTCAGCATCTTTAAAGTCCTGCAGAATGATGCATTTCTGCACATCATTCTTGCATCATTCGACTGTTTTAGGGCGCATAATATGAGAGATTTATTTGCGCAATTCATGGTGTGTGTGTGTGGGGGGGGGGGGGGGGGGGGGGGAGAAGACCTGTAATATGCTATACTGTAGTGTGAGTGCTTGAAAATGCCAACCATATCTATACTGACGGTGCCGCATGCACTGTAAAGTACCGTTGATCCCCCCCCCCACACACACACAGTGTCGCTTCCCAGCTGGTTTCACTCTTTTATAAAAACAAAGTTCTAGTTTTGACATCTATGTGTACCATGGTGTACATGTTCAACATTGTTTATGAATTTTGCCAGTACAAGTACAAGAGGCTTTTCTCTCATCGGGGAGAAAACTGTACTGTACTCAATATCCGTTAAAATTCCTGAAAAGAAATTCAAAAGAAAATTATTTTGAATTTCTATGGCGTACTCATGCACGCGTGGTAGATCTACAACTTTTACAAGGCTGTTTTCTTGTGGAGCGACTTACAGCAGGGATCCTTGGTGCACGCATCCACCATGCCCACTTCCCAGTGCTCAATATACTCGGCACGAGGGTTTTCTTTCGAGCTGCAGTTTCCCATCGTGAGAAGCCACGCGCGCAGCGACAGACCACAGTAATGACGAGGTGGAAGGAAATAATTAGTTGACCGTGGATGAACAGGTCAGGAATCGCTGCTACCAACTACTGAACTAGATTCTAGTTGCGAAATTTTCAGGCAGACAAATTTAATGTCTACGTCAAACGTGATAGATACCTTGACTGGCTTGAGTAGACTGTCACACCGACACCTACAAACCAACTGTGTGTGGGACTGTGGGTAAAAACTTTCAAAAGTTCTAAAAAGACGAACACAACGAAAACGGTACAGTATCGCGTGTATCTGCGCACCCACGTAAAAGTCGTTGTCTTGTCGGCATCAGGGAGTAGTAAAACACCCGGTATTTTACCACTCTCCAGTTTGGGACGCTTGTCGTCTTGTACTCGTACGGTACAGTCAGTTGATCATTTTTGAGTCTTGCCCTCTTTTTGAGTCTTGGTACATGGTATCAAGAGTACATAGCCACTCTTGATGGTATCAATGCCTTGCAGCTTGGTCAACCATGGACCATGGACGGTCAACTGTCGACATGTCACTCACAACATGCTCACACAGCAGATACATGTAGCAGGCCCTAGACTAGCCTAGTTGCACTAGTTGAAGGGAACAGATCTACCCGGCCTAGTAAAACTAAAAGACTGGAGTTGAGAGAGGCGAACGTCACGCGGCCTCAGCTCATGCAGTCCTGAAGATCATGGCGGTTTAGCTGCTAGGGCAGTTCGTTTTCAAACCACTCGAACCTCAGTCAGTAGCACCGCGCCACCCGCACAAGTGGTCTCCATACATAGCGGCATAGGACCATAATCAGATAATGGACCATATCCAAGTATTACCATGATCACTCGTACTCCGGGATTAGAATGTTCAACATGCGTTGCCTTGGGTCTTTAGTAGGTAGTTCAGAAGTTGTAGAACAGTACAATCATGCATAAAAGTGCCCTTTACAGTCATGCAGTCCGGGGAGGGGGGGGGGGGGGGCCGGGGGGGGGGGGGACATGTCCACACTGACCCGCACTCAGCGCACTGCCAACACTGGGTCACACTACATCATGTAGCGCCTATGTACTGAGACTACAAGTAGGAGGGAATGCCACACAAACATACCATACGGTGATCATGGTCGAAGTTCTGGTAGCCTTGGATAAGGACATTATAATACTCTGCTGGTAACCTTGGATAAAAAAGAATTCGACGGGTTTAACCTTGGATAAGGACATTATAATACTCTGCAAGCTAACTTTGCTACTAACTGTTACTTTGCAACAGAATGGTGGATGCAACCATGGTGACGATTGACCTTAGGAACTCGCAGTGCAAGCCACTCCAGCAGGTAAGGCCAGATATCGCCATGGTCGCACGGTAAAGACGGTTACTTATAAAACCTAGGAACAAACCATGCATCATCCATTGACACAATTGCCAATCGGATATGCCCACTGACAATTGATCTCTCAATGGAACTAATTACTTGTGACTGGTTGAAGGCTTGAAGTAAACATACATGTATAACTGAAATGCACGTGTACACAAATTTGGACTCAACTACATGTACATCCATTCGGGAGATTGTGTATTTCAAAGTATACAGTCATATTTCTGAGTGTAGGCAAAAAGAAATCAGCGCCGGTAAACATCACTATGCAGATCATAGCGTGCCGGATCTTAAATTCTCTACGCCGGTCTTGTAAAGCATGCACAAAATTACAATAATATTATGTATTTCAAGTACATGTACAACGCCCTTGTCTCAGGGGATTCTGTCCCTGCATTAGCTATGCTTGTCACATGCTATGAGATTGTGTCTAATAATAATAATAATAATAATAATAAAGTCACAACTGATGAATAAAATAGTAATTCTCAGCCTGCAAATTCAGGACGATATATTAAGTTAGTCCCGGCGCGAAGCCATTAGTTAGCATGGTGTGTTATTTATCAAAAATCAAGTAGCATCCTGGTATGTACAATGAGATGACTGTCACTGGCACACATTCACCAATACATGTACAATGTACACTCCACTGAAAAGCATGTGTATCTATCTCCAGCCTTCATCTCGAATTCAATTCTTTCACCGGGTCCTGCAGGTACACACGCTGGATTAGCTGAAGCTATAGTACATTACGGCTATGTGATACTAGTGTGCAGCACCAGTCCACGAGCAAGGCCGCCGGTTCCAAACATCAAACACACACACTTACACACACGCACACACACACACACGGCTATGGTTTTCAAGCAGTACTGTACTATACTGAGATGTAGCAGGATGAACACAACCGTTGCCGATGTACTTGTGACTAAATGGTATCCGGGGATTTGAACAGTTGCTTGAGTTCACCTGGCACAAACTACACAGGTCATCTCTCGATGTGAAACATACGGACCACAAGGTAGTGCACCGCAATGTGCCTCCACCGGATAGAGTGTCAGTCCTTCACTTTGAACACCGAGTGTTTGACGGTAATGAGGCGAGGACTCAGCTTGGTGGTCAACACAGACGAATTCTGAGCGTTGGTGTTCGGACCGCTCGCTCATCATGTAACCATGGTACTGACGGCTCCAACCAATAGGACACGTCAGACTTGCAGGAATCATTAGCACTGAGGAGACTCTCGGTACGTGGCAAATGGCACAGGGGACCTTCTGCAAATTCAGCCGACCTGATAGCTGAGTATTCTCAAAGACATTAAAGCTACCTTCAGCGTGGCCAAGCCGATACTCCGCGCCGGATATTCTACCTCCACCTTCATGAAGATCGCTAAAGTTTCCCCAGCTGGGTCGGAGAGGTAAGCAAACCAGGTTTGATCCGCTCCCTGGTTGGTTGTGCATAGCACCACCGACAACACCTTCGTACACCAGCTGCAATGTCGTTCCTCTGCCTGGTTGGCTGGGGCCGCGTTGTGGTGGCGGCTGGCCTAGCCCTCCTCCTGGCCCAACGGGTGGAGGACCTGGAGGCTGGCTAGTGCACGATCGACGCCCCCATCGAATGAACGTTGATCCAGGTCCAGAGAGTGGTTGATCCTGTTCAGTATTCCACAGACAAGAACAGAAAAAAGAGAACACATAATGATTGTAGTCGTGACAAAGAGGAATGCGGTACATGTGTATGTACTGAGCCCAACTCCACAATGTACTGAGCCCAACTCCACAATGCACTGAGCCCAACTCTACAATGTACTGAGTCCAACTCCACAATGTACTGAGTCCAACTCCACAATGTGTTTCATGTACCGACTATAGATAATCACCTTGATTACCGGTTGCTAGTAGCTTTGGCTTGCAACTCAGTATGCAATGATGTACTTTGAAGTACAATGAATCTAGGCATCTTGCCTTCCGCAGTGTACAGTGTATGTACTCCCCAATGCCGCACATGTACAGTTAAAGAAAATTCTCCGCAATGTACAATGCAACGTACAATGCACTTGAACAGAAGTATTTTTATATTCTTACTTTCAAGTATAATTTTTTAAATAATCTTACTGCTCCAAGTACGTGTATGGCTTGTAGATATACGAGATTGTGCATGTACTAACCTGTTGACCTTGTTGTGGCTGCTTTCCAGCCAGTTTCATCTCCAATGTTTGTAACTACACAGGAAAACATACAGCAATAATCATACCGGCATTGAGACACATACAGTAGTCTAGCCATGGGAATGCTTGTACAGTAAAACCTGGTTTAAAGGCGACCACGGCACGGTGCAAGGAAAAGCGGTCGTTAAAGCCCAGTGGTCTTTAGAATCAGGTCCCACAGCCACAGTGTAGAACTGTCCATGCACGGAAAACTGTCACTAAGAGCAGGTGGTCGCTAAAAGCAGATATCGCTTACACCAGGTTTTCCTGTATTGAGTGTATGGAACCGTATTCACAGTACAATGCAGGCAAATCAGTCGCAAGTGCAAATGGTCACCAAACTCTAGGAAATAGCATTTGTTACCATGATAACTAGTGTGGGGCAGTGCCAGAAAATGCCAAAGGGAAAAAATTGACCGGGTCACCCATGCTAGGAGTTCCAACGTCAGCGCATCAAGAACCAAGGTTACACTGACATGAATACCGATTAATTTCGTTAGAATCCAAGGAAGTATAGACAAGGACTTTGTATGCTCTTACTCTTCGTTGAAAGTCAGAGTTGGCCCCCGGTTGACCAGGTGCTGATGGCTGCTGCAGCTGCTGCACTTGACTTTCTAATGTTGCAACGCGTTGCTGTACAACCACACAATACAATACACGTCACAATAGGAAATGAATGAGTCGTGATGACGTCATGCAACAGGCACAATACCATACTCATAGAAAAAAGGAAGGGGAAATAGGCACAGACAGATGCCTCAGTGGTGTATGCTTGGTGCATACATGTACTTTACAATGACCAGTGGTGCAAGCCATTCACCAACTCCACAATACCCGGCAAAATTCGACCACACGAGTGCTCACATTGCACTCTGCAGCACTTCAAGTCAGTGGATACCTTTCTTTTGCTGCACGCCAAACTGAACTAGTTGTAATACTCAGGCCGCTTTAGAGCACATTGGTCCACCACAGACAGAAGACAATGCATTGTGCACTCTGTGAAGACGACAGAGTCATTACACTGTGCCAGCCATTACACATTGAATTCGCGGTGATGCTCACAGTTGTGAAAATGTTCTCGGACAACACCAGTGCAGACACGCAGACTGGCCTGCAATGAACTATTGCAGGTACAACTAAAGCTACACAAGAGATAAAGGTGTCTGGATACCATTGATTATTTTAAGCATGTAGAATAGCAGCAAAACATTGACAGAGCTGCCGCCAGGAACAGAATGAGCCGTACCAATGGAAGAAGAGTTCAAACTTTGAAGGGAGTGGCGGCCTGGATAAGATGTTATGTCATAATCATGTCTGATAGAAGAGCACAGGGCGAACCATAGGAGGTGTATATTGATCGTTGTGCACATCGTACACCATCACCCAATGGTGTGGGTCGTATCCTTGACCAGCAAAGAATGTCTGGTTCCCACCGCTCACTCTAGATGTGTCGCGCAGGTTACACAGTCGCAAGTCCTGGTTGTTGTCGACGCGAAACAAAGATGGCGTCAATTGCGTGTATCCGGGTGGGTATTTCTGCGCAAGTGGAAATGCGGCTGCGTTGCCTCCGTAACCATAGAGACTGACTCCAACACTGTTCCGTATCCACAGCGCAACAAAGTTACCTTCACTTTTCAGACCGTAAATCTGAACGTTCTTGGAATTGATGACTTCCGTATTGGCATCGCCACGGCCATGTTCCATGTTTAGCTGGTAGAACCGCAAACCCTGCGTGGAATTGGTGATGAGTAGGTGTCGGTAAGAGGGACTTTCCCCAATGCAATCTTCATTCTCCAGATCATAGAATTGCCCCCCGCCGGTGATAACGATTAGTGGTTGTGTTGTGTTGGTCTGTACTTCAGGCCTAGGGGCTCCCGCTGGCCACAGGTCTGGATCCGATAAGTAGATCTTGTCTGGATCTGCTGTGTAGTAGGACGTAAAGAGGAACCCTTGACGATAGTAGCAGCCAACACCGTACGTTTGCCAGAGCAGTGCGTACGTATTGTTGATGTCATGCCATGATGTCACCGTCATGTAGGCAATCACTACACTTCCTATGCCGACTGGGGTCTCAATGATTGGCTGAGTTTGGCCAGTGGATGAACTGATGCCGTCTTTCGGTATGACGATGAGCGTGAACGTCCGACCAATTCCAACCAGTTTCGTGTTTGAACGCAACTTGAGCGTGGAGCTGACACGATAGTAACCCTTCGGCAGAAGAACAATTTCATTGTCATCAATTGCTTTTTGAATCATTGCAGTTACATCATGTTGTCCATCAGGAATGACGTTGTATGGAGGCATGATAACACTGACTGCGTTTGCTGATTGAAAACTCGGAAATTCCAGTTCATCGTAGAGATGCTGTATTGTCAGGTTGTCAGGTGGTGGAGCAGATATTTTCTCCAGCTTTGTGAGGTTCTGTGCATCCACTCTGTCATTCCACCAGACCCTGCTCTGATACTGCAGATCTACTTTGCTACCATTCACAACGACGTCACCGTGCGGAGGCTGGATGGCAATGGCGGCTTCATCGATGTGCGTCCAATTCTGTGCTGACGTAGTGGGATTCGCAAGGATATCGTGTGGACCACTGTAATTCCCCCGGCGGAACTCAGCCAAGTTGTTCACGCCACGTACAAACACGTTTCTCAGGTAAAGATCACGTGCCGTGGTGATTGCAGATTTGCTCTTCTGATTCGTTTCAATAATACTGTCTATAATGCTCATTTGTCCGTCGAACAGTGGATTCGGTGCTTGTATCACTGGCCATAGTACGGGTATCGCACAGGGTCCATGCACTGGTAGCCATGGCATACGCACATCACCATATTCGGCGGGTACGGATGCGATGAGTCCTAATTTGGATGCACTAGGGTCATGACTAACATAGGACTCAACGTGGACACCGACTGCTGTAAGCGTCTCGTGCCCAGCATAGATCATAGCGCTGCAAGTCTGATTGATAAGATGTACAGTTGTTACGGTTGGTGCTGGCTGTGCAAAACGGAAATCAAGACCGTACCGGCCTCCGATAACAGTCACACCCTTGTGACTGCCTCCAGATCCCGACGCACCCTCAGCACCAATGAACCCATCCGGTCCCATGTCGATAGTGCAATCTTCAATCGATGAACCCTGTGCTCCTCTCAATCGAATGCCGATAGCTCCGTGGTTACCAGCACCGACACGAATATTCACACCTTGGAATACTTGATTGAAGTTCACGTTGGTCCTGAAATGACCTTTCTTCTTGCTAGCGTCATCGTGTCCATTGCCGGCCTGGATGACGTCATCATGGGTGTTGATCCGAGATGTGCTGTTTGAGGGCGGTAGTGCATCATTCTCGAAATAATGGACAACGTACCTAGGCCATTTCGGATTGGTAAAACCTGGAGTGCTGGCTGGCAAAACAATCTCGGGTCGTTTCACAGCGCTGCTAATGCGTCCAGAGAGTCTTCCAGCAGGCTTCTCGCCAACGATAACAACGGGTTTGAATCGTCCCGAGTTGTGCTCAGAGCAGTTCAATGACTCGGTGACTACATAGGTACCGATTGGGACATACACGGTCAACCTGGTCTCTCTAGCGTAGTCGATGGCAGCTTGCAATTGCTCTGTACTATCCGATTTGCCAGTCGGATCTGCATGATAGGCTGTGACAACGTTCACAATTCCCAGAGCATCGTCGCTAGGAGCGAGGTGTGGAAATGTACAAACGCCCAAACAACTTGCAACTAAGTTGCAAAGCAATATGGCGACCAAACGCATGTCCAAACACAATCCTAGCAGGGAAAGTTCGCTTATTCAATCCGTCCTGATTCCTCGATAGCCACGTATTTCCTCATCGCACCCAATCGTGGGCAAAACTGATTTTGCTGTTTTGAATGAAATAATCATCACCAAGTCCATGTTGAAGGTCGACATGTCAGATCTGTGATCGTTGACCATGGTTGACGTAACCCGATTTACTCCGAAGCCGGCGAAGTAGAAATTTGTGCGGTTATCATGGTCACGCCAGTCGGACATTTCACCATGGATACATGGATGGAAGTCCGAACGGGACTGGTGTAGTCTGTAGATCAAAATGCATGAAGATCTAGCTTGGATTTAGTTGTCCTCTGCCGATCTGTGCAATCTTTGATCCTCCGCCCTCTGGACTGGAGGTCTGTTAGTTACAATCTCACTGAGACTGTGGCTTGGGCGTGGCTTGTCTAAACTCTAGTACACTTAATTGTCATGATTATAATGTCATGTTACAGATCTCCAATGTCTCTCAAATCATGCCTGCTGCTACACACCAAAGTCGAAGTGCAAGTCACTGGGCCTCTGTTCCAGTCATACCGAAACTACGAGAGACACATGCAGTAGATTTTATTTTCATTATTTTATTGGTTTGGTGAGACTCCCATGATAGGTATCCATTTACCTCTGGAGAATCCGTAAATAAACAAACAAACAAACAAACAAAAGATCAGTCCTGAGGTTGAGTGCTGCACTGTGACTATGGACAGTATGCTGTATGTAATTGTAGCTCAGTCTGGTACAGTGACTGTGTACATTGTAGTATGCTACTCACGGATAGTGGTGGGGCAGTAGTCAGCAGTCCAGCTTGTAGAGCACCTGTAGCAGTGTAGGAATCACAACAGAAACATTAGCTGAATGTTAGATTGTCTAAGTCAGTAGAACACATTCAGAAATTCTACATGTACACTGATCAGTGTATTACACTGCAGTTTCAGTATTGGCTCAGGTCTACATGACATCATGTACATGTATTTGGGGTAGATACTATACTGTCTATAGGCTATTGTATACATGTTACTGTCGTATACATTGTACTGTCACGTGAGAAAGGTTTGCTATACTACATGTATAGGCGCTAGGCGGATGAAAAGCATGAAAGAACTTTTTTCAGTATACTGAGGTACCGAGGCTCCACAACAAACAATGATCTCTTCTAAACCACGCCACCAAAACCGTCTGTGATCCAATCGGCATGCAGCACACGAATATCCAATATGCATGCAACACACGAATACTCGTCACTGGCTGCACCACGTACAGCGATTGTTTCCAAAGTTTCACCCAGGACTGCAGGAGGGCATCATCAGTATCGTCTTATGAACCCCTTAAAATACATGCGCCGGTATATACATGTACATGTAGTAATAACAGTATTATGGGGGCTTATACATGTACATGTATACTCTTGCATGTACATGTACATGCAAGTACATGTTGTTAGAGTAACAGTGATGTACTCGAGCCAGGATAGAAATTAGCTCATACAGGAACAGTGCCAGTAAAACCAAAACAAAATTATCTTCAACGTGGCTTGCCACATCCAGGCCAGGTAGTGAGGTGCGAAAGTAACTTCGATTTCATTGCATGCTCATAACACTGCTACACCTTCTCCCTCATGAAGTCGGCCAATTAATATTTTGGCCGCTACTTTCCTTGCCCCTGTTGCAATCATCACATTGGCCATAACCAGCAATGGCTCTCTAGTAGTAATCCACTATGTCTTTGGGATATACATGTACTTCAGTTGGAATATTAGTTACTAGTAGCGATGAAGCAGAGTTCAATGTCAGCAATATATTTGGGGGCTACTACAAGTGCGGATGACGTTTTAACGTCATGCGGACAAAAAGGCCATTTGGGCGGCGATCACCCACACTAACTACGCCGTGATGAACACAGTTATTAGTACTTATTACTAGTTATTACCTATTATAAAGCGATATGCCCTCGGGCACAAGTCACACTAGCCTAGAGCCGCACCAACTAGAAAACTAGATCAACTATTCTAAGCTAATGAGCAGTTGATAACGGTAGAGTGAAGGTGGTTCAAGTCTGTGTGCAACTCGCTACGGATCATGGTAGTGCATAGATGTCAGCTAGTAGAGTAGTAGTAGGTGTGCATGTACAGTCATTAGCCACCTGCACATTGTCATTGCTATTGCCAGGGAACACAAGGCGTAAAGGAAGACTGGAAGTGGAAGTAGAATACTGTCCACCGCCAGGAAATGCCCCACGGACATACCAGATCAGGATGCCTCAAACTACAAGATGGAGGAATTCTCTTGCAGGCAGGCTACCTCTTCTTCAGGCGGTTCATGGCAAAAGTGAGTTTTTCAGCCTGAGGCGTGAGGGCAAGCAGTGCAATGCATCCCCGGGTTTCATGTTTTACGTCATGACTCACATGTTCTGCATAGTCCACGGTATCTCTTTGCCTCATGACTCAATGAGGTTGATGTGCCACTTCCGCAGTGCCAGGTTTCGCACATGTTTTTCCTATTCCCCAGCCGCGGCTCGCTGGCGATGCGCCCCATCCAATGGTAATGGCAATGATCCACACCCGTACCCAGTACTGACACTGTATGTACAAACATTCCGTTGAAGTGACAGACAGTACATCACTAGACTAGCGACTGTACATGTACGTACCTCTAGACCTGCGCAATGCGACAAGAAATGGCGGACGGGATTTCACACAAACCTGACACATAGTCATGGGGACATGGGGACCCATGCCGTGGAATCACTGCGACGACGACCTGGATGGACTGATAGCTTTCTGCTTGGCTCTTGTCTTGATGATAACGTCAATGACGATGTACAGCTAACTGCCATGCAGAATCAAGTTACTCTGAGTCTGATCAAGGATGTAACGTTGTCCAAGCCTCAATGCTCAAGTGTGGAAGATGTCAGCACAGTCTTCATTAGAATCTTTTCTGAAGTGCTGTAGAATACCCATGTGTGCTTTTGGCGTGCATACGTGCTTCCGGAAACTCGTGTGTAACCTTAACCACTACAGGAAGATACGAATAATTGCATTAAATTTGTCTAATTAACTTGGCGGATGAAACCAGACGCTATCCCATTTCGGGATGATTACATCATAATTCAAAATAGATTACATTACACGAATTCCACATACATGTACTACTTGTACTTGTACATGACTGTACAGGGGAGGTAAGGGTAAAGAACTGTCTGACTGTTTAGTAACTTGCTCAGCATTTCAGTCAACTATACTTTCATGCATAAACTGTTGATAAAGCTATCAAGACAAACACCAGACAGTACTAACTACAACTACATGTACAATGTACAAGTCCACATAATCATTGGCTATGTATATGTACATGTACATGTATGTGCCAGACAGAAGCTGCTAGTCATGCAAATGTCACAATAAAAATATCCGTCATGAAAGGCCTGACCCTGAACATGAACAAATGGCGGTGATTAAGTCGCACCATAGTGGAAGGGTGTGTGTTGCACATACGCTTCATTCTGCCTACACATCCCTGTACATCACCAGATGCTGGCTATCTACGGACAGGACCTTGTGTGACGCTCAGCAGCGTGTTGTATTACTAATTATTATTCAAGTAGCACGTCAGTTGTTATTTTGTTCATCCCAGGTTGTGTCACACATGTCTCAATGAAGAGGGTACATGGGTTCATCCCAGGTTGTGTCACACATGTCTCAATGAAGAGGGTACATGGGTGTCTATATTAGTATGCACCGCTATACTGTCAGTCTCGGTCAATTTCAGCAGCGCAGTCAGATAGTCAGTCTCAGTCAGTTAGTCAGTCACTGCTGGTCAAGTTGCAGTGATCATAGATACGAGCCGGATCGAGAGGGTGTCAGTGTCGGTAGAGTGACTGAACCCTTAGTGGTGACTCCTTTCCCCTTACGCGCACACATACGCGAGAACAGACACATACACCTGCGCACACACGCGCGCGCTCACCACGCAAACGCGCCTGGAGCATGTAAGAATGATGCGCATGTTTTTGAAATCCGTATTCCATCGACCCCGACGTCTTGCTTTGAAAGTGAAAGTAGAGACATCACTAGTTGAAGTCTTTCTGCATTGCTGATGTACTGTACGTGTATGCTGGTTACACCACGCATGGTCATGAAGTTTCTTACACACGTGCAAAACCTGTACGTACATGCTCTTCAGTAGAGTAAGCGTTCGAAAGTACGGTGCACAGTTTGATAGATCTACAATTACATGTTCATGCACCTACATGTATTCTAGTCCGTATTAGTACTAGTAGTGCCTCACCTTCAGGGTCGGACATTAGAGGTGGAGTGTTGTTCTTGGACGCTGTTAGGGCAGCCACAAGCAAGGCTATTATGGAAATGACTATGGTCACAATGTGAAGGAAACATCCTGCTGACGTGGTGCCTAGCGTTTGTAGAAGTGACATTGTGTTTTCAGATGAAGAGTGTCTCGATGATGCTGTTGTTGATGAAGATGAGGAGGTCGCTTTAGGACGAATGCACGCTGCTTTGCTGCCGCGATCACTTTCCACTGAAAAGTCTGACTCAGGATACGAGCGATATTCAGAGGAGCTCCTGAAGACACACAATACACATCACAAAATCAAGTAGAATCTGGGTTAATGATATCGCCTTGAGCAGACGCAGCAACAACGCGTTAGGGTCAGTAGGAAATGGAGGAAGGAAATAGCAGAAGTCAGTTTCATGACATCCGTACCCTCAGTCCCTCAGTCATTGGTGATATTTCCCAGCAACATTTAGTCCTCTGGCTAGCGCCGACGGGCAAAGCTAACGGCCAAGTCGTGTGAGTGCAGGAGGTGTTTTCAATCAACTTCTCCTCCAACCAAAGGTTCAGCATGGGCCAGTTTAACTGTCACCTGCTCTCTTCTCAAACAGGAATGCCCGGAGATACTTTGCCCTCAAGCTTTCTATGCTCTTCGCCGTTCTCGACTAAAACTGAGTGCACACGTCGCATCCACGCCAGCCCCATCCAGTGCAAGAAACACGCAACCACATAGCATCTAGTGGAGCAATGACTGTCTGGTCAGCGTCCGCTAAGCTGTCTTGCCGCTGTATGGCGGCAGGGATTTTGCGTAGCAATGACCAGATCCGCCCTTCAGGCGTACCCTCTCAGCAAGGTGTAATCACTGATGGTTCCTCTGTCTCCAGCCTGCAGCATGCCATGCCATGGGTGTCTAGCCAGGGCAGTAGCCAATAGCAGGATTGTGTTGACTGTACATGGTTGTACAATGTAGACTTCACTGTACAATCATCCACGACCAGCACTCTGCATGCTTGCTGAACTTGGGCAATCGTCTTAAATGGTCGTGACGCGGCAGTAGCAAATGAAGCATGGTCAAACGGCCGGTAATATCACACTTCCACCCCTACTCCCCTACTGCACACCGCACTATCAGTACCCCGTTCAAACACTGTACTGGTCGGAGGTGAACCTTCCATGATATGGACATGTACATTGTACCGCCAGTCGGGTAAACAAGCGGTTAGCGATTAATACTACTAATAGTGCTCGCTAGCTACTGGCAACTCGAGCCGATCAAGTCCAGCTAGGTATTTGAGTGGTTTAACCACATGTAAGATAGCTATGGAGCTGAAACAGACTCAGTATAACTCAACGCTGAGCTGAAACAGTGTAACTCAACGCTGAGCTGAAACAGTACTTCGAAGTACATGTACGTTTATGGGTAGATGGGCAATGTAAGGCATGGCAAGGGAAAAAATAAAGCCAAGCTGAAACGCCAAAGAATCGTATAAGCCATGCAAGAGAAGCCAGAATCAGGAGACAGAGGAAAGAATTAGGTATGTCATGTCATGTTGGTAGTCAAGGTACAATCGGTGGCAGCGCGTTAGCGCCCCGCACAGGGGCTGTTTTTCCGCTCATCACATATTCATTTTCAGCGGCTTTGAGCTCTTGTGGTATGGACTGGAGTGAGGATTGTCAAGATCGAGTCGACCCTCTTTTCTCTATGGCGCTCGCGAGGACGCAGTTAAAAAAATAATTCGCCGCCATATCGAACATTAGTGGCGTGTGTGGGTGAAGTCGGGGGCCGACATAGCCACCAGAGTTCGTTGGTATGCAGCATGTACTATGATGTACATGTATTTTGAAGTAGTACTCATGCTAAACATGGCGATCTACATGTAGCAAGAATGTGCACAGGCATGTACAATGTGCACAGGCATGTACAATGTGCACAGGCATGTACACACTTGTACTTGTAGACACCGTTACCAAGTGTACATGATCCCATGGGTTTGTCGTTACCAATAGATATCCATAAGTGTATGACTGTGTAATACAATACATGTACCAGCTGTGTACAGACAACAGAACACTGACAACAGCCCAACAATAGCCTTGAATAGGTAAATCACTGCAACAAGAGAGCTATCGTCTGAACTGTGACGCTGTGTTGTGCCAACAACTCCCGAGATCCTGGGGTTCTCTCAGACACGTCGATACCGACAACTAGACCCGCATCGTCCCATCATTGCCATCAGTACCCCGTCAGTGTGTGAACATATCGCTGACATACCAGAAATAATATCACTGAAGCCGTTGAGGCTGTGTGAGAGTATATTGTCCAGTGGAGTGGTGTGGCAGCTAAGAACGCTCACTAATAGTAATACCCAGTAATCGGTGTGACTGAGAGCTGAAAGGAGAGCGTTGAAAGGCAACTGCTGCTCCAATTGACGAGCAGATGGCTTCTCAATGGCAACATGCGCAGCCTGTCGTGTTAAGTTAGTGATGATGGTAATTGTGTCATTGTATCGTTATGTGGGTACAAACCCTCATATGCACATGCACACGCACTGGTGACATCTATCTCTGAATAGTCAGCTGCTAATCTGAGAGAATGAAACGGTGCAACCGCTCCATACCGTATGCATGCAAGGGCGCGACCAAACCTGGACAGTTGAACGGTTGTTGAGAAAGGGACAATACTAGCTCGCGGCTGGCAAACATCCCATTGGTCCAGTGTACAGTACAGGTTTTGTTGCCATTACCCGAGGCAATGGACACCGATTTCGGCAGCCTACAAATTCCCCACAACGCTATTGTGTTTTTTTTTTTTTTTTTTTTTTTTTTTACAGGTTTCACTGCACTTGCAATGATAGTGAGGAAAATGTTATCAACTCCAAAGCACGAAAAAGGCCAAAAACTAAACCAAGAACATATGCAATAACATGTTATTTATAAAGACAGGACAAGTGAATAATTAGTCAGTCCATTGTTCATGATGATCTCCGACGGTTACGTCGGCAAGCGAGCCTCCGCCACTGCCAAAGCAGCGTGGGCTCCGCAGGAGGGTGCAAATTTCAAACCAAAATTTAAACGCCTACAACCGCGAATGCACATGATACAGGATTTCAGAAGGCTGAAGGAAATCCTGCATCTAACAAATGCCATAACATGAGAGTAATGCTCACCCCTCTTCTCCGCCAACAGATGAGCAATTCGTTTGTACAGTGCTGTTGATGTTGGACCCATTCCGCCACTGGCTGACATGACCGCCGGAACAAAGGAGGCTTGCTCAACCTGCCTCACCCGCTCCTCATAGTGCCTTCTCTTTTCTTTTTCATGTCGCTGATACACAATAGTATGTGGTGCAGATCGATTTGAGCGTGAGTGAGGATTAAAAACCCGTATATCAATAAGTGTACGCTCAAAACGACTGCCCCACAAACCATTGGCAGCGACATCCAACGCTATTGTGTACAGTATAATGAGTGCGGTCCATTCACAAGGGGGGGGGGGGAATCGAAAGTGAAAGCCACACGTCGTGTAAGTATACATTGGATATCGGCAGTAAGACGCGTGTTCTAATGCCGGCACGAGTTTCTAGCACCGTGGCGAACACTCTTTTACATGTATGATACTAAGATTCCCCGGTCCTTTCTGCATGACTTTCTCCGCTAATCCACTCAGTACCCATCGCTAGCTGGCTATAATATCATGCATGTTGGCTGTGTCACTCCGCAGTTAGTCCATAACGGTTGGTGTCTCATCAAGCTGGGAATAATCGTACATGAATTGTTATGTAAGTGATACGCAACAACATGAGTTCGGTAACGCATTCATGTAGAAATACACGACTTGAGTAACCGACGGGGAACTAATCTACTCGGCATCTCCTCGATTCCCTCTCTGCTGGCGCCGATCATAGAGCTGGAATGACCAAATGTGTGGCATTGGCATCCATCACTGTACAATCCTGTTATGTAGCCCAGCAGATTAGCAAAGCTCCTGAGCCACTTCTTCGCTAGATCTCCTCTGTCTGATGACTGACTGCACCATAGTACAGTAGATCTGATCCACAGTCATGTCATGTACTCACTCAAAGCTTAGTCTCTATGCGTGTGCAACCATATAACTTGGTACGTGTGAAATTGTGGAACCCTTCTGCTGGGTACGTGTGTACCCATAACGATGACAGAAGACGGGTTATAGGCCCAGGTAACCATGCAACACATCCAATGATCCAAAACACGTCATTGCTCTCTCACATTTTCGCACGTATATCGTCCCACTGCCACTATTTCAGTCACTGAACACAAGAACACATGTACATAATGGAACCCGTGATCGCAGGCTAGCTGCACAAGCAAGTACATTGTGGTATCACTCCGCGCACGATGATGATTGAACCAATCTAATCGTTCCACACCGTCAGTCCATCATTCACTTGCGTTCAGAACAGGTCTCATTCGAACAGAACTTCGGTTGACTGGCATCCAGACACGAATCATCTCAACTGTGAGGAAAGTGGTTAAAGAATGAATCGAGCCTCACTGGAGCAAACTATCCCTCAGAAGACATGTCCAGCTTCGCATCTACACCCTATACTACAGTATGCCTGATCAGAAACCTGAAGAGGATACCACTGACTTACTGGTGATCAAGGACAATGTTTCAATGCGCTGAAGGCCACAGCCAATGTTTCTCCTATCCATACATTCGCCCGCATGGAAATGGGTATCACGTGACATAGCTCTGTAAGCCTAACGACCAAAATACATGTAGATCTCAGCATAAAGAGACATGTACAGGTTGTATATGTATTTCGAAGTAGAAATATTCAATCCACCCCACGTTTGTGAATGACGTAACGACATTACACAATCATAATACAGTATACAGGCTGCAGAGTGCAGACCTCTACTATGGTTAAATAAAGTTATTATTATTATTATGGTACGAGACGGGACTGGACAAAGTAACAGTTCATTTGCCTCAGCTCAGGAGACCTCATGAGCTCAGGCTCCGGGAGCACATGTACATGCACATGTACCAGTAGTACATCATGTTATGTCCCAGGCATGATGTACTCCCGGGATCCCAGGATCCCAGGATGTTCTGTGCGACCTGATAGTGATACACTACACCACACGCACAGCACAGTGCAGAACACGTCCACTGTGTGATGATGCATACACTTGTTTTTATCAATATTTTAAAAGTCGGACTGAAACACGGCACACACACACAGAACAGGTTAGCTTAATTGGAAATGCACAATAATTATTCCTACGCCGTCTCTCTGAGTAGAGAAGTTAGGGCATTATGCTGGTGTCGCCAGCAGCTCCTATGGACACGTCTGCTGGCTTGATGGACAAATCAATGAAATCAATGCGGGAGATGTCTAATTACAAAATGCGGGCAATTACTCAATGCAGTACATGCATCGCCGCAATCCACACCAATCTGCAATCAATTGCGGGCAATTAGCACAAATTATTCAATAATGTGGGATAATTGCGGATACAGCGGATGTAGCGGGTAAGAAGCCAGGCGACATGCCTCGACTCTGCCAACACACAGGCCATACACAGCACGATGGGTGTGGGCGGGTGCCCACCAATATAGACACCGTTGCACACTGTTGGGTGCAAGTATAGCCGCATGCCATAAAGGACGGAAGGAACATAGCCGGAAGATATTCCCCTGCATGAGAACTGACCCTGCCATAGGCAGATGGTGAATGAACCTAGCCTTACCACCCACATCGCCAACTTGACCAAGATCAAACTCAGCGCCATGAACATACATCATGTACAGCGTACATATACTTGTAGTTGTACTTTGAAGGACACCACATCATGCATGTATATTTGTACATGTACAGATGTACCGGGAAATGTATGACTGAATACACAACATAATATAATTATGTACATGTACCAGAAAACATTCTGTAAGCTGTATACGTGTGTACTTGTGTGTGTAGGCTCTGCTGCCAGTACATGTACAACATTAGTATTCAATATCTACAGGGACAGGTCATGTCAGGGAGCTAAAAAAAAGTAAATTATCGTGTCCGTTCCCGAAGGGAACTCACGACGCCGCTAACACCCGATAAACCCTAGCGGCAGATGCAGCGCCTAACGGTGGGGGTGAGTGGATAAGTCTCACAACCACTGGCACAAGTGCCGAAAACGACCCCATTAGCTGCATCCATGTACCCCTTGTGCCTGGCCACAAGTTTCCAGCTGACTGTGGGTAGCAGCACGGCTGGAAAAACCGCTCCCAGGCAGGACTTGAACCAGGTACCTCTCGTATCTCAATCATGGTCTTTGACCAACCCACTGTGCCTGCCTGGTCAGGGAGCTAGGTGCACCAAAAAATGTGACGTCATAATGATGGGGTACATACTTATAATTGTGAGCCGTGGAGATACCCGAATACCCTTCTACATGTATACACGTACACGAGCACCGTGTTCATATGTTGTTGTTGTTGTCTATTTTACTTCGCAGATTCTAACGGGTAAGTTGTCCAATAACAAGAAAGCGAAGGCAAAGAAAATAATAATACTAATAAAAGCAATAACCGGGGGCAGCAGAAAACGAATAATAGCTTTCTTAAAAGAACTCGGGTGGTGAGCCAAGGAACAAATTTCCATGTTACAAATAATCGCTTTTAAAAGTAAAGAAAAGAGCGGGTGGTAAAACAGACTTCCTATTCGGAATTCCCTGAACGAAGCAGAGACATTAGCTGGGTACATGTCACTATTACACAGTAGCAAGAGAGCTACCTCGGTATGACATACCGACTGTTGTGTACATGGATGTCTGATGCATGCGCAGTGTCACCAAGTGACCAAGGTCACTGGAGGAGGAGAGGAGTGAAGTACTAGTACCTCAAGGCAACAATTCTGGCCACGGTACCAGAATGGACCGCCTACCGATGCCCGAATAGGGTCATCAACATTGTTCCCCAATGTCGCAGTGCTGTTGCTCTGATGCCTCTTCCGTGTTGTCCCCATTGCCTGACTCTTCTGTTCATCAATGTACCCAATCATGGTCAGCGTGTGATGCTTTCCAGGAGCTCTTGCAGCAATAGGCACATTTTTCAAGTTGATTCGACCTTCGTCCAACATCCTACCAGATCAAAAGGTTTTCTGGCATTTTATCACCTTCAAGTAAGACTTTGCCAGGGTATAGCAGGAACGCCTTGCTTTAGACCACAATTTTAGTTCATATTCTGCTTCTTTTTCTTCTTTTCCTTTTCTCTTCGACTTCTTACTTGTACTCTTTTCCTTGCTAGCCGTGGTTGGCTATAAAACCCTGCAATCGCCACGCAAAGTGATCATTGGCTACCCCAGACATGTATAGCTTGGAATAAAATTAAAACTAAAACTAGATCAGGCACGCACCCAGGCACACATTTGCTCAACACGTTGTGTTGAAAACATCAATTTGCGTTGGTAATAATGATCAACCCGTGCGTATTCCAGAAATCCTCTGAAGACTCGCACCCCATCTACCTCTGAGCTCACCACCTTGCCTCAGGGGATGGCCTGTCACGTCTGGGCCATCACTATCGGAACAGATACACCACCAGTACAATCCTTTTTCGTGTCCTCCAAGTTCGTCTCTCTGGCATTGCTAGACATTCCAGGTATTTCCGGGTCCAAGTAGAGCCGGAGCTCTCCAGTGGTATTAATATTTTGCCATGCAAACTGTGGCAGATGATAACCAAACCGTCTGCTGAAGTGTTTCAATGTTCATACGTGTGATTTTATGATAGGAAGCCGCTAACTGCACCATCAAATTCTTAAGTTTGGTAGAGCTCCTGGAGCTCTTGCCTTGGCTCTGATATGCCTTCTCAGAAAATCCCACTTTTGAAAGTCACTATTTCGAATCAACGTATAGGCCACCATTTTTGGCGAGGAACAGACACACTCTGCCTCTTCGCAGGGCTCTTTTCTTTTGATATTACCTGTGTAACAACAAGCCAACATCAGGACCATAGTTTTTCATCAGGATAATGGAATGAGAATTAAGTCCATTTCCTGGCTGATAGCAGTGTCAATTCTTCTCAGAAAGGCAAACACCATAGTCACAGAGTGACCCAACCAATGTTCTCACTTACCTGCGTGCAAAGCGTCTGTCGGCCATCAGTCTTCCATGCTGGTGTGCTAGCGCGGCTGCTGATACTTTGGACGCTTTGGACCCCACAATACTGCTGCCACTAGATGTTGCTTGCTGTGTTGCCTTCATCTTGGACAGAACGGGTGGTGGATAGAACGGTCCGTGCATTGCATGATGCAGTTCGCTGATAACAGCGCCTCCTGCATCAGCTTGAACAGAGGAGGTTGCGGTGGTTGGTGTTGAGGACTTGTGATGATGTTTCTGACTCGGTCCGTCTGACTGCCATTCGGATGGTGTACCTCCTCTCCGACCGTTGTTCGTCTTCTCCTTGTTTCCACCCATTCTACCACTGCTATTTGCAACACCGGCAGTAGCAGAAGTATTTGAACCAGGAGCACCAACAGCAGTACCAGAAGCAGCACCAGCAGCAGTGCCAGCACCAGTGCCAGCACCAGTATCTGTAGCAGTACCAGCAGTACCAGTAGCAGTACCAGCAGCAGTGCCAGGAGCAGTCACAGTGCCAGGAGCAGTCACAGTGCTGGTGCTAATACCTTCTCGGGGAAGTGATCGTGTAGTACATGTAACTTGAGATCCTTGATGTGCATGCGGCTCTAGCTTGCCACACGCTAACGATGAGGACACTGAGGATGAGGAAGATGGCGGCTCTGTTAAAACTGATGAATCTTGAGAGGAATTAGAAGATGATATCAAGGCCTGCTCTAGTGAAGCACAGATATCAGAGTGATTCGGAATGTGGCCATTGTCATAGCTAGGCCAGCTTTTGGTTGACGTCAGCTTGTAGCAATCATTATCCTTGCTCAGTTTGCAGACAGGGTTGGCTTCAGTGGACAAGTAGATGTCGTGATATGAAACTTCGTTCTCTTCGTGAGTAGAAGTCCTACTACAGTCCTGAGGCTCAGAGGTGGTAAGTTTCCCGCACTGCTGGAACTCCTGTTCCATTTGCTGACTCGTGCGGCCAAGCACTCTTCTTTCTGGACAGTCACACGTCCTGTTGTCGACTCTAGGCGATGAAAGGTTGGTGACCGTCTGACTCTCACCAACAGGCTTCTCACAACTGACTGGGGCGGTACATAGACTATTTGCACGTTGGCGGATCGCTGCAGCTAAGTCAGACATAGCTCTCTCGCCAGCTAAGCTAAGCCAAGCAGATTGAAATGAAAGACGATCACAGGTCGGTTCAAATCGCACTAAATTGAAACACCTCTCTCTAAGCATGCCATTCAGTACACTGCAGCAAACCAGACTAGTGCACGGTGCCTAGGGCGTTACCCTAACGTACTGTTTGGCCGGGAACGGAATACCCTATCTCGGCAAGATACCCTAGGATAAGATTTGCTTCCTCTCCTAGGTGCTTGCAAGGGTTTCTCGCCTACATTGCGACAAGGTATCGCGCAAAGACTCGGTTGCCACGCGCTCTTCTCAAGGAAAATACCGAAGACAAAATGCTGGCTCGTTCCAGTGGCATGATAATAAGCAGCCCGTTACCACTTCTGGCGAGTGGGTCCATTATCCTACCCGATACTGCTTGGGATCGTGTCTGTTGGTCTACACTACACGTGCATTGTTTATGTGCGTTGGGGAGGGTGAGGGGACTGCCACGTGAAGACTACCTCTATCACTTCACACTGCCTAAGTAAGAGTATAGTTTGCATGATCCTAGGGTTTGCGTGTATAGATGCAAGTGTGTCTGCAGTGGTTTATTTACCTTCCTAAACAACTACATGTACATGTGAATGACTGCAGTGGATGCTAGAGCAAAGAATATCGTGTACATGTGCTAGTAAGACTGCGTTATCGTGTGACTATGTAAGACTGCGTTTCGTACACGAATTCTACCCGAAACCAGAGTCGGTTGAGAAGGAAGTGGTTGGCATCGACAGAGTGTGATCTTTGCCAACCTGTGTTGTTGTGTGCTCCCTCTCTTTCTCCCTCTCTCTCCCCTTCCTCACCGCTATCCCCAGTTGTACACGATCACAACGCAACACTCACAGCATGCCCACACTGCCATGGGGCGATACCAGTCCTTCTGTTGCCGTGTACGCACAAAATGTGGAAACAATACGTTAACAGCGGCTCGGTGTAGAGACGACCGCGTGCCGGCAATACATCACACATGTGCCTGTTCACACCTTATCCTGATCTGTGCGGGGTGTGTAGCAGTGGGGTCTGCATACAGTGTACATGTGCATGTAATTCTCAAAGCACTGACATTGACGAATTGACTGCCCCAGACTCTTGCTGATTACTGCATTTCAACTGTTGTTGATGTGTGGATATGTGATATAGTCTGATTAGTAGTCGCCTCACACTTGGGCTGAAGCTTGTATGACACGATAGCTAATACATGGTACACTGTGCACAGCGTTCACACCATCATTCAGCCATGCATAGTTTCATGTGACCTGCCATGGCTTGCTTCAGTAAGCAAACACTAGCAAATACGGAAGGTCGACATTACAATAGGCGAAACCACCATCCGCTCTGGGTGTACGCTAGTCGGCTAATTAATTTCGTGCCCCGCTTTCGGCTAAACCCAGCGCGACCACTATTGAACTCGCTGCTCTCCCAGACGGTTTCTGTTTCACGTTCACACAATACCACATACCCAGCCATGTACTAGTATGGGGAGTACAGACTCAGTACACTGCAAGTGTGAAAAGCACTGAAAACGCCTCTTATGCACACATGTACTGTCTGTACAATCATGCGCTTATGTGTGGGTACGTACACATAGTACATGCAACAGTGAACAGCAGCAGCTTCAGACCAGAACACGGAACACGTTTTCAACTTTTCATGCATTGACTGTGGCATACTGTGGTGTAAAACACGTCCTCAGTACAACAGCTTTATGTTGCAACTAACTACTTGCATGATTGTACATGTATCGGTACTCGTATCTTCAGAAAACAGTGACCTTTCTACAACCATCCACGGTTGGTAGAGCCCCTGTCTTGCGACCATCTGAACCGTATGGGTGTTAGCCCCGGCTAGAGAAGAAAGACGAACAATTCAGAACAAAAGCTACTAAGTTTATGAGGACTGAGTATCAGGAAGACATCCAGGGGCGAACAAAGAATACACGACTGGCGGTACAACAACAAGAAGTCTAAGACGACTTCCCTAGAATAAGGAGTGACAGAACCGGGGCTAACACCCATACGGTTCAGATGGTCGCAAGACCGGGGCTCTACCAACCGTGGATGGTTGTAGAAAGGTCACTGTTTCCGAACACGGTGTCCTCCACCTTGTAACATGCTGTCAACCAACAACATGACGTCATTGACATTGTAGAATGTATGCATCTCCAAAAGTAAAGTGACTGTTGGACTTTTGTGACCAGGGAGTAAAGTCATGTAGTACAACTATTGTTTTTACGATGGCAGAATGTTGCAGGCGGAGGACACACTGGATCGAAACACTGGGAACTGTTGCTCTACTCTAGCCTCTACAGTCTAGTCTGCTCCCTGTCATTCTGACTGAAGTTGGTGCCAGACTGCCAGTGCAGGCCCAGTCTCATTCGTCTACCAGTTGCTTACTGTCTGAACTCGTACCACCACAGCTAAAATTATTGTACATGTACACACATATCTACTTCCTCCGTTAACAAAAACTTCGTGATGGAATTTTGAGGGGCTGATTTGGGCACAAACTGCCGTGAAATGAGTCACAATCACTTTCTTGGCCTTCCCTGGCATGCCATGACAGAGGTACGATGCAAGGAAAGCGACCTTTCACAACAAGTCGAGCGGAATCGATGGTTGCGCTGTGGAAACATAGGTGATGACAGTCATGGCGAGCGAAACTGAAATGCCGCTTCTCCGAGGGGATATTGCGCTGCTTGGCCTCTCTACCACTTTAGCACTGAGCTGTCCCTGCGGGAATTTGCGGAAAAAACTCTCGAAAACTTGCGCAAGAAATTGCGGCAGAAAGCAACAAAAAATGCGACGAAAAGTGCGGAATGATGCAGAACTTGCCAGGAATTCGCGGAATTATTTACAGAAAATTGCGGATTTGGGCCAAATCACGAAATTTGTTGCATCGTATATCTACTCGGGAGTAGTCCGAGTCGTACTATACAAAATTAATAACCTACAGGATCATGGAAAGCACTGCGTGAAAAGTGCATAAAAAAAGTGAGATATAGTGCAGAGAACAACAAAAAACGCGGGAAATCGCGGATTTTGCTGAAAATCGCGGGTTTGGGCGAAAATCGCGAAATTTGTTGCATCCGTGGAATCGCGATTTCCTGGAGGGACAGACTGAGTACGTTGGAGAGTGATAGAGAGCGATAAAACGGAGCAGCGAGCCCACACAATGAGCGAGTGAACAAGGAGCTGCTCCGATCGCACGGCTCCATGAAAATAATTCTGAACTGAAGTAACACGTTAGTTCTTGTTCAACCTGCGCAAAGCCCAGATTCGAATGCTGATGATGACCATGCATTCTTTCAGAAGTCTGCAGTCAGATGCGAGTCTCGTGGCTAAAGAAAGTCGAGTGGACTTGCTAGCCGCTGCCGTTCAGTGCTGGTATCCATTAGAGAAAATGGAATCAGTTTAGCTGTGCCTTTACTCCTCGTTTCGCGGAGTTCTGGAGAGCGAAGATGAAACCAGGGAGTCGTGAAATATTTTTGACGACTCCCTGGTGGAAACGAGTAATCGCCATCGCGGCGGATCACGCAGCTTGAAAGCAAACTTACTTGAACGGCGGCGACATCAAGCCGAGTGTGATCAAAGAAGCCGAGGCAAGGCTGAAACGAGCTGAACAACGACTCGAGAGAGAGATGACGACTCGCGTACAGCAGATGACGACTCGCGTGCAGCAGATGACGACAGCGACGCAGTTCAAAAATGAATCGAGCGAAAGCGACGCAAACTGAACTCTCTGCTCATTCCGCCAACAGTTTCTCTTGTAAAAGCGCTGTACATAGGCTGAATCACCGTCGTCCAGTAATTTGCAGTCGATACAAACTGTTCTTGACCTGTTCTGAGCGTTTTCATATCCATCAAAATCCATCACGAAGTTTTTGTTAACGGAGGAAGTAATAATATACTAAGTATCTAATATTGACTGAGTACGAGGTCAATAGGAAATAAAAGCCGAGTAAAAGACCGAGGCGAAGCCGAGGTCTTTTACGAGGTCTTTTTTTTCCTATGCTGACCAAGTACGAAGTCAATATTAGATTTATCACGACTGACCAAAGAATGTGTTCAATCGCTAAAAAGGAGTCAATATAAGCGGTCAATATAGCCCTAAGGAGTGAAATATGCAGGAATATTTGACTGCTTAGGTATGGCAAAAATCTATGTGAGCCAATACTAAGGGAGTGATAACATCATTTATCACTCCCTTAGTATTGACTCCCATTGATTTTCGCTATACCTAAGCAGTCAAATATTCCTGCATATTTCACTCCTTAGGCTTAGTTAGGGCTATATTGACTGCTTATATTTGACTGCTTAGGGGTTGCGCAGTTGAACGGTGCCTAGTGCAGCATTGTCACTGCATGAGTAGGTAGTGGTGCAACGGTTGTGCAATCATAAAACCGGGATTCATGAGGACTGGACTGTTTGTCGTGATAAATCTAATATTGACTTCGTACTTGGTCAGTATAGGAAATAAAAACCTCGTAAAAGACCTCGGCTTCGCCTCGGTCTTTTACTCGGCTTTTATTTCCTATATTGACCTCGTACTCAGTCAATATTAGATACGTCATGTTGGATGAACAGCAAAAGGATTGGTATTAGTATTACCAAGAGTATAATTGTAAAATGACTCCCTGCTCTTGGGATTATTAAATAGTGTAACCACGGTCACCATGGTTTTGCGAAGCAACGCCGTGCTACAGTTAGTACTGACTACTGAGTCGGTACAATGATGTACTTACAATACTTTGAAGAGAGGTCTACTGAGGTCGTGAGGAGTTGGGTGCACAGCAGACCATGCAGGGTGATGGCCGAGAAGAAGAAAAGTCAGGCTCTGGCCCAGTATGGGCTGGTGTACATGATGTACATGATTGTGCGACATCGTGCTGCCCTCCTCCGTGCACTCCGGCTGTGTCATGATCGGCAAAACAAAGCATACCGTTACACATGTGTAATCGAGAGCAAGTATTTATACCGACCTGGACTTTTAGGGCTTGAAAGTGATGACGTCAAAAACGGCCTGGGAGTAGTAAATTGACATCAGATTTCTATTTTGGATCCACTAAGGTGTGACTTTGCTATTGCCTCAGTATGTGGGTGCATAGCAACCCACTCA